AATGTCTAAAACTATACTTTTCTTTGAATTTTATATCAAAACGATGTCATAAACTGCTAAACATCTAAAATAAAGTATGTCATCAAATCAATGAACGGAAGTATGATTATGTTTTATTAATTCATTGTATTGAAAACGCAAAATAATTTATTTTTCACCTGGGAAACTACCCAATTACTGGTATTTTTCTCGAAGCGATTGATGACGAATTGAGATAACAATTGCATATTTGGCGCTAGCTTATATTTTGAATTCAAAAAGTATTTACACAAATCCTAAAAACCACCCAGGATTTAGAAATACAATAAAAAATATACAAAACAATACCTACTTCATTTACTTTTATCCCTTAATTCATATTACTTATTCATTAAACTCCGAGCGAACACCGGTATTTGCGTCTTCCATTGTGTCTCGAACTACCACGATTGAGAAGTCAAGATCAAACTTATTTCATCTACCACTTAGCATGTTAACATCCAATAACACGAAACTATTACACAAATCACGCATTTTCCTCATTGTAACTAATGTAATTAAAAGAAGAAAAAACTAATCTAAAGATTGCAATTTACTGGCAGATTTGTATCGACCAGCGGTTATTGCGACAGTCAGGCGGCCAATTGTGATCAATTTAGCTGATGGTGTAATACCAGCGGCCAAGACATTGTAGTGACGCGGTCGGACTGTTTCGATTGTGTTACACGTAATTATATGCAACGGGCTGTGTTGCCACTATACTCTGTTTTGCAATCTGATGGCCAATTTACAAAAACAATGGCAACATGGGTAAAATTGATTTTTTTTGTGTGATAGATTTGCTCGTCCGTGGCCTCACAGAAAACCGGCGTAAAACAACTACAGCGTTATATTTCGCCGTGTGAGTAAGGTTACCGGAGTTCCAATCTTTTTCCTTCCTTAATCCTTAAATCTCCGAAACCCAAACCCCCAAAAGCGGGCAACTCACTTGTAACTTCTCTGTTGTTGCGGGTGTTCGTGGGTGACGCTGATTGCTTACCGCCCGTGTGGTTTGGCTCTAAAGCAACATTAACGTTAGTTAATAGTAGTACTAGTTATATTACTGGAGGCCCAATCCGGAGGGGATTGGGCCTCCAGTCAAAAATCAAAACCATATATTTTATGACTAAGGAAAATATGTTATGCGTGGCTGCTACGTAGAATATAACAATAATATTGTTATTATAAAATTAAACTGTCGTGTTATAGCGCAATTACTTCAGTGTACAACCGTGAAACGATCAGTGATATCAGCTAATAATAAAAACATAAGGAAATAGAAAGATTTGCTTGAAACATAACATCACGCATTATTTGAAGGCATATTTTGTTTTCATACATATGTATATACCTTTATAATAGGTAGGTATAACATCCACCTTTTAATCGAGTTCAAAAAAAGAACAAGCAACTAAATCTGTTGCGGTTTTCAGAAAAGAATTTGTTTAAATTCAACTCAAAAACTACTGAACTTATTTTAGTACAGTTTTCACCAGAGATTGATTTAAATATATACCTAATTATTTGACCTAGTTTTATGCACACCACGTGGGCGGAGCCTTAATCTAATGTTACAAAGAGGAAAGATGTGATTGTTTGTTAGTTTGTATGTTCAATCTAAACAAAAAAAACACTTCACTAGCTCCGAAACCACTTAACAGATTTGATTTTTATTTTTACTGTTGGGGAGCTAGACCACACTGCGAAAATAGGCAACATAGACTATAGAGGCTATCTAAGCAGGAGCAACCGCAGGCAGTCATAGATAGTCATAAAAAACGAAAATTCTAAAATATTTCTATTTTACCTTTACCTTTAACCAAATACAGCATTCAGTGTTCTGAATGCTCTGGTGGTAAGGACGACGAAACAAGGAATTCCCTAATATGACAATAAAGCAATCATAGTGTACTAATCCTCATTGGCTATGCTGCACATGGCTCCTCTAACTTGGGCTATAAAATGAGGTTGCAACAATAATTGGATGGAGTAAGTGGATTGCACATCTTGGCAGTCACTAGAATCTTATACGTATATATGTAGATATCGAGCGGACGGCGCGTAGCGCGCGCTTCTAAGAGCCAATAGACCGCCACAGACGGGGCCCTATAGGGCTGATGTTTGACCGAACGGGATAAACGCAATGAGGCACCGCGGCCAAGGCCCAGAGCAGGAGAAGGAACGGGGGAGGATTTATTCAGTAAGAGTCTGACAGTCTAGGCGGGAGAAGTCATTTAATGATTTACCCCTCACAAAAAAGAGGCTATGCTACGGGACGGCTCGAGCGAAGTGATACCATAGACTCATAAAACCTGCGGCAGCGTGAGATAACGCTTGCCCTGTGTTTCGCTATGTAAGTGAAGTTAAAAGAAGCGAACTTCCCTTTCCCTTCCCATCGTCAATCCTAAGAACCCTAAATCCAAAAAGGCGGCAAGGCACCTGTAGTTCCTCCATGTTGCCGGTCCAGGAGCAGTGCTGATCGCTTACCATCAGGTGATTCGTCTGTTCGTTAGCAAACTTATCCTATAAAAAATAGGTAATTATTAAATGTACATTTATGTATTCTAAGCAAAATAAATACTTAGCAGCGATACATAGTAAAGTTAAACATACTTAGATATTACAAATCAAATACAAGTGAATGGATATAGTCTGTAAATGTTATTTGTTTTACATCCTCATTATACATTCATATTTTATATAATTATATAAATACAGGGAATAGTAGGTAGGTACTTTTGGTTATAAAAGAAATAATTTTATATTTAACAACAATTCAATATTTTTGTTTTATTATAAATATTTTTTTGTTTTGAATTTTTAAACTTCACTGTCTTTTTTGTTGATGTATATCGTATTTTGTAACGTCATTTTTACGTTATTAATTTTTAAAATTGTTTACTTAGTATGTCATGAAAATAACAGAAACAAAAACACAACACAATAAGTACAATTAAAAGAATCGTAGTCCTTACCATCTCTTTTACTTCTTTAGCTGCCCTGCGTGGGGCGAGAAAGAATGTCAAACTCTTACTGTCCAAAAAAACAACCCGTTTTTTTTCTTACTCTGCTGCAGTCCCGACATTGATTTTTCTCTTTATCACGAGTTTCTCTATTTGCGAATGCTTCTAGCTGCATCGTAGCTCTTACTAAATAAACGTTTAATTCTTTCTTCTTTCCAAATTCAGCTATTACCCGCAGAAAGAACGTAGAAATAAAAATAAAATAAAAATAAATAAAATAAAAATAATTTTATAAGTATATATTTTCTTTGCCATCATACACAACTAAATACACGGGCAGTAATTATGCGACAACATAAACCTAATACTTAGTATTAATTGTATTGTAAATGGACGCAACGTGTGCTAATATTTAATGTTATGTTAAAAATAACATCACATGTGCATATTTCAATAAACACTATGTACAATCTAGTGTTATGGTTATATCACGTGTTTCAGTAATGTTGTAATGTTTGTTATGTTATTATTACGCACACTTACATCTAACGGCCCTGTCTCGACTTTGTACGTGTAAATTTCATTTCATTTTTTTACATTCACACATTCTGTGAGCCCGAGCGTACGGCGCGTAGCGTTCCGCGCGCACCTCCAAGAGCCAATAGACCACCACAGACGGGGCCCTAAAGGGCTGATGTTCAGCCGGGGTTGTGGGGTAAGCGCAATGAGGCACCGCGACCTCGGCCCAGAGCAGGAGAAGGAACAGGGGGGTTCTTAGTCAGTAAGAGTCTGACACTCCCTCCCGCCCGGCCCTGGGCGGGAGAAGTCATTTGATGATTTTCCCCTCACGAAAAAAAACACATTCTGTGAGGGAGAGTCAAACCTCGGCACCTCAACCAGAGTGATAACACGGCCTCACAGAAAATGAGCATGAAACAACCACAGCGCTATTTTTCGCCGAGTGAGTGAGGTGACCGGACACCCAATACTTCCTCGCCCATCCCTCCTCAATCCCGAATTCTCTGAAACCCTAATCCCCAAAAGTCCAAACTGTGTCGAAACGGTGATTGCTTACCATCAGTTACCTAAATCCAAGAGAGGGAGCGAGTTACTAAAAAAAATAAAGACATATGTTTTATTTTTGACTTTTAAAATGTTCACTTTTAGTGTACAATAACGACGATATTTTTTAAAAGCGTATTAAAATGAAACAATAGAATATCACCTAATTTAGATCACTGCGCCATGTTACAATTCACACGAACATAATCACTTTGAAACGCTGGTTTTATTATATGAATGTCGCAAAATCGTTTTTATTTAGCCATTGCAATTGCATACACTCTTATGCAGTTTTTTTCGCATAGATTGCAAACTAGCATGCGTTTTATAATATTATGGTATTTGAAGACTAACGCTATCTAATTCTTGGTTTTACTTTTAGAGGGGAGAAAATCATAAAATGTCTTCCCCCGCCCTGGGTGGGGTGGAAGGGAGTGTAAGACTCTTACTGACTAAAACCAACCCGTTTCTTCTTCTAGCCGCAAGCCGCGGTACATTATTATGTCGCATCGGTTCAATTTCGGAATCTATTACAGACCTCCGTGTAAAGAAACCAAAATAATTATTCTTTTACTCTTCATATATACTGTAGTACGTGCCTGTATTTTTTATGGATTCAATCTCTGCTTCATATTTTTTTAGCTGTCACAGTTACCAGCTCTCTAAAAACAAAGCAATTTTGTAATACATACACGAGTCTTAAAATAAATTTGCGTCTCTTCTTGTTGTTTTTGTTAGTAAACCGCAACTGTAATACAATAAAGATTACAATATATTTTCAATTACCTACATACTTTGAAATGACAAATATTTCATTGGTTTATGACTAAGATAATTTGCTTTAAATTGGACCTTGAAAACCACTCATTTCACAACTACACGCCAAATAAGTGCATTCGTCTTCCCATATATTAAAAGAAAAGTTGACCAATAATGATATTTTCTTATTTATTCCAGGATATGGGACTTCCTAGCAGAGCAAGCTCGACGTGGAACCACCGTTATCATCACGACACATTACATAGACGAAACGAAACAAGCACACAAGGTAAGTTTTATTTAGACGTTTAGAGAAGACCCAATTCTCCCCTCCCCCAAAATGCCTATTAATGAGGGGGAGAGAATGATCTTGTACCTCCTCTGATCTGGTGATGCAAATCAGGGGATGCTAATTAACTGCTTACCCGTGATTGGTGATCCTTAGAGTCAATCTGACAGGAATGATAATGGCCACAATATTTCCATGACAGATAATAGCTAAGTTTTATCAAAGCAATTAGTTTAAATTATGGCTTCCATGCAACATTACGTGGTCACAATAGAAGGGTAATGTGATAATTAATTTTAATTACTTATCGCACGTCGCGCTGCACTCGAGCTATTAATTAGTTTACTCTTTGTAGACAAACTGTAGAACGTGGTTTAAGATGGAAACCATAGGTGATTGTAGACGAATAATCTTATCCTTTAAATCACTATCCTATAAATAAAAAAGTCTTCCACATTAAAAACTTCAATAAATATACGCCATCTTAGACGACTAATAATACGTCACCATTTCGTATCACATATAAATAACTTATAAATTTGTATCTCCCTGCGCTTAAATCGGCACTAGCGCCATCTACTCAGAGCAAAAACTTAAAACAAAAACTTGTATTGCTAATAATATTTTGTCTTTCTTTTTCTTTAGATCGGTCTCCTCCGAGATGGCCAGCTATTAGCGGAGGACTCTCCCGAGGATCTACTGAGGAAATTCGACTGTGACACTCTTGAGGAAGCTTTCCTCAAACTGGCTATGAGACAACATGAGATGCCTAGGAGACGATCAAGTAAGTACTACTTATAACAGTTTCTACATGATAGATTCTAGTTTATTCTTGGTACTTCTGTGGGATAATTCTTGAATGCCAATGGTAATTTTAATTTCTGTGACAATAAGGGTGTACTATATAACTTTATTACAACCTTAGTTTAAAAATCTCTCGATCTATCTCAGCTCTGGACAGTCCTTCGGTTTAATTTCTGTCAAAAACGATCAAAGTGACTACAGTGACTTTGTTTTACGTAACGACACGGTCGGCCTTCTTATTTTTGGTTAAATTTGAGCAGGCCAATCTGAGTGGCGAAACTTAAAAACTTGTTGATTGTCTTAATGTAAAACATACTCGAAGTGGGCATTCTGAAAAGCCAAGTCAAGTACAATAATGTGTCGCGGCCTCAGCCTGAAGCTGGAGAAGGAACAGGTTGGTTTTTAGTTATAAAGAGCCTGACACTCCCTCTCGCCCTCTCGCCCAGAACAAGAGAAGTCATTTGCTGATCCCTCCCCCAAAAAAATGTATGTACTTACTCTGGATCCAAACTTTTTGAGCGTTGGCTCTTACTAACTTGATGAATTTCTTCATGTAGATCAGCGGTGGCTTATGTGAATTTAACTGCTTCTATGCAATGTTCTTTACATTCCAGTCTTTTAAACAGATACACCCATAATTCCGACAGTTACACTTAATTTTATTATAACTTTTGTGAGACATTCTAAATTAATTATTATGCTTTCGGCTTGAAATTAGTCGAGTATCTCGTCAAATTATAACGTGAGTAAGCCGAAAACATAATAATTAAGTTACACTTATGTTTTATTTTGCAGCTCTGACAGCGTCTCCAGACGTGATCCCGGACAGCAGCATGTGTGCACCGGTGGACAACCGGTACCACTCCCGAGACGACTTCCCCACCATCACTAGTAGCACTGACGTTAGTATACCAACATACAGATTGAAAGAAATAGGTACCTGGGGAGCAGCAGCAGACAGATTACCTGATGGTAAGCAATCAGCGCCGCCCATGTACACCCGCAACAGCAGAAGAGTTACGAGTGCATTGCCGACTATTGCCGATTTAGAGATTGGGGTAGGGGAAGGATTGGGACTCCGATAACCTCATTCACACGGCGAAACACAACGCTCTGGTTGTTTCACGCCGATTTTCTGTAAGGCCGTGGTATAACTCCGGTCGAGCCGACCCATTCGTGCCAAAGCATGGCTCTCCAGTTACAGTCAAAACTTTGGCTGTCACTTCTACCTTGACTTTGATTTAGATATCAAGAGAATATCTAACCAGTTATCCGGTTCGGTCCCCTGGTTAGGTTTAGTAACATCTGGGATTTTGTGTTAGTGTCTGGAAAATCTCAAACGATCCTATTGTATATTACTAATGCATATGTATGTCATCAGAATAAGCATATTGTATACGGTACCTACAGCAATAAACGATGAACGCGCGAATTGAAACAAAAATCTTTGTCTCAATAAATCTGTCGAGGTTTTGGAATAAATATGACGTTCCATTTTGATATGACATTTAAACATATTTTCTAAAATTTCAGGTGCTAACAAAGAAAGAGAAATCAAAAGGCAGCAAGAAATTAAAGAATTCTCGGTATAAAGCTGTCTTCATCAAAAGCATACAGCAGTTCGCCAGGCATCCTGGGTGAGTGAGCAACATCTACCAATTAAGACTTTCTTCAATTAGTATTTAATAATTTAAAATGGATGAAGTTTCGGAAACTTGTTTTTTTTTCAAAAGCCATAATATACTGCAATTGCTTTGGACTCTGTACGGCGCAGACTACATACCCACGGCACAGAAGGAAATCCCATTATAGGACCAATTTATGATAACTCGACAAGTTTCAAACCAAACTGGGGCTCATATTCATGTTACGGCCGCCAAACAATGGCCTAAATAGGCTATTAAACACCATGAATTATTTGAATATGTCTTTAGAAAGATATAATAGGTACTAAAATTGTAACCTTTTCACTTACAGTGGACTGATATTTTCCATCCTGTTCCCCATAATACAAGTGGTAGCTTTCTTCGCGGCCGTGGGCCACGACCCGCGAGATCTACAAATTGGAGTGGTCAACGATGAAGCGGCTTTCTCACCATGTATGTATAATAATAGTCTACAGCAAATAGCTTCGAACTCACTGGATATAAGACGAATCCTTCCCTTATCCCCTTCCCTAATCCCTAAATCGTAAAAAAGCAATGCATTTTCAACGCTTCTGGTGTTATGGGTTGTTGTTGGACGGCGCTGATTGCTTGCCATCAGGTTATGCCTTTGTATTAGCTTGTTTGCACAGTATTCGCCAAAAATTACGGAAAAGTGAATTGATGGGAAGGTCAGGAAAAGCATGGGCGTGAGTTGAAATATAAGAAAAAGGGTGTATCGAGATTTCTAGATAATATAGCTATGAACAAGAGACGTGGATACTAAAACGATCAAAAACTATTCTGGTGACACGTTTCACATAACATTAAATACCTTATGAATTATTGACTGCACGGTTGGCGCGGCGGCTTGTGATCCACAAATCATTGTTCAGGGTCTGTGTGTGATGTGTATGGAAATAGTACGTTTGTAAACTCACGCACGACGGGCAACGTTTTCTAACTTATAATATCAGCGTTGTGTTTCGCCGTGTGAGTGAGGTTACCGGAGGCCCAATCCTTCCCCTCCCCCAATCCCTCCTCAATCCCTTAATCTCCAAATCTGTAATTCCTAAAAGGTCGGGAACGCACTCGTAACTCCTCCGTTGCAGGTGTCCATGGGAGGCGCTGATTGCTTACCATCAAATGGTAATCCGTACGATTGTTTGCCGACCTATTCCATAAAAAATATCTAAAAAGTGCTTATATTTCAGTTTACATCTCTGATCACGCACATATTATTTATGAGCTTCAATATTAATGTTTCCAGTTGGCTTGAAGATCTGCAGCAACACGAGTTTGGTGACGACGGTACTACAAGAGGACGAGACCTGCGACCTGTACATGCTCAGCTGCTGGTTCTTGGAGGAAATGGAGAAGAAAATGCTGTTCCCTGTAAGTACATTATCGTGTATTCTTTGATCACGTTATTTTGAACGGTAGTGGTTAATATTATCATGGGAATAATTCTTGCCAACTCCTAGAACCCGGCAAAGCACGTGGAACTCCTTTAGTCTTTAAAAGTTCATTTTAAAGGTCCTCATTTTTCGTGATGTGGAAATTTTTGCAAAAAAAACTAGTTTATCACCAGAGACTGGAAAAATTTAATGCTATATTTTTTTATGCGATGGGTCGCAAACGAGCAAGTAGATAACCTGATGGTAAGCAATCAGCGCCGCCCATGGACACCCGCAATAACAGAGAAGTTATGAGTGCGTTGTCGACCTTTAAGGGTTAAGGGATTTGGGAGATTTAGGGATTGGGGAGGGATTTGGGAAGGGGAAGGGTTGGGCCTCCGGTAACATCACTCATACGGCGAAACACAACGCTGTGGTTGTTTCACGTCGGTGTTTTGTGAGGCCGTGGTATCACTCCGGAGCCGACCCACTTGTGCCAAAGCTTAGCTTTTGCTTGTAGCATTCGAATCTGACTTTGGAAAAAGCACATAGGGTCACTGAACGAACTAGCTGTCATACTATTATAGTATTTTGACGATTCATAAGTACATCTATATAGTTTCGTTTCAAAGATTAAAATTCCTTAAGAAAATAATTATAAAATTTTCAATTTCAGACTGTATATAATTCGACGGAAGAAGCTCGCAAGGCAGTAGCTACGGGCAAGTTGTATGGGGCGCTACATTTCTCGAGGAACTTCAGCTCAGCGCTGGGCAAGCGAGTGGCGGATGGAGAGGTCGATGACGATATCGTCGAAGACAGCAGCGTTAGCGTCTGGCTGGATATGACTAGTGAGTAGACATTATCATCATCAGCCTATAAGTGCCCACTGCTGAGGAAAGGCTTCTTCTCACACGGAGAAGGTTTGAGCATTAATCACCACGCTTTTCTCAAGACGGAATTGCGATTTTAAGTTTATAATTAGAAATTAAAAGTCCAGGTTAACTCACGATGTTTTTTCTTCACTGTTTGTCAGTGGTCTCTTAATAACCATAGAAAGTACATATAACGCGGAAACCAATGTCAATCTTATTCTAGTATTTGACTGGTTTTGAACTCTCATGCATGCGTGGGGACGCTAGGGTTCAATTTGGAACGAGCACCTGAGCTGCACCGAGCTTTACTGACGGACAGACTTAGAAATTAAAATACGATTCTATTTCAAGTTTCAAAAGTAGCTGTATTTGGTTAAGGGCTAATTATTAAATGGTTAGATAAAAGTTATCTGAGGAATAATTATGATTCTGTCGCGTCAGAATGTTTGTATAAGACAGTGACAGCAACAGTTTTATTCCTCATATAACATTTATCTGACTATTGAAAAATCAACCCTCTACCTGAAATAAATGTTTATTGACTTTTTAACCGACTTAAAAAAAGGAGGAGGTTCTCAATTCGACGCGTATTTTTTTTCTTTCGTTGTTTTTCTATCTTAATTTATGATGGAGTAGTAAACCTTTACTTTTTACTCCTACTTACCCCAAATGGATAAACCAGATTTAATTATTGTAGTTCTAACATTATAAAATATTTGTTCCTAGATCATCAGATCTCCAATTTCATGAAGACACAGCTTCACAAAGCGTACGAGAGCTTCACACGACGAGCCATGACAGCGTGCGGTAGACCAGAAAACTTAGTGCAGGTATGTTCTTTAAAACTATGTAATTGGTATTTATACTTAACAAACAATCATTTAATTAATTTGGTACACAACTATCGCAATGAAGATTGGTTTGATTAATACAAACGCCTTTCAAATACAAATGCCCGGTTTAAATAATACTTAGTAAAATAAAACTTATAATATTTACTTGAAAGCGCATGTATAGTTAGGACGTTTCTGTCTCTAGAGCCCTAACCACCGGTAGCTTGGACCTTGCTCCCGTTGCAGGCTGGCTCCTATTTTTATATTTCTAAATATTATTTTATTTTTTAGCAGGTAATATTACAACAATTATAATTTAAACAAATATGTTCAAAATAATAACTTTTTCTGGTTTCTATATCTGTCTGTCTGATTTTTTATTTTCTGTCCTACACACCAACTTGGCCGATTACAGTAAAACTCGTGTCATTAAAAACAAAATTAAAATTCTTCATTCGTATTTAAAACAAAATTAAAATTCTTATTTTGAAATTTGAATACCGGCTTTGTGTACATTTTCTCAATTAATTTGAAAGAAAACTTTGTTTGAAAAAAGAATTACAGCTTTTTAATTATTATTTTACTTGAAAACAGTATTAGGTACAGCTTCTAAATGATTGTTTCTTTTTTCCTTAAAATTCTTACATTTGTCATTTCTTATGCACAACTGCTTCAGATATTACTATAGCACATCACCATCATCATCATACATTGATATACGTTATGTACATCACTCATCAGTAAGTATTTATAATGTTTAAGTATTTATTTATATACCTATGTAGTATATGCGTACTTTTTATATCTTGAAGTATTTCTGTTTTATACATCGCATAACTTCACTTCTTATCGTTTCATTTCTCTTTTTTCATGTTTCAAGTTATGTAAGGATCAGTCTGTGATCGTATTCTTTACTTTCTTCGGGCTCAAAAAAAGGAAAAATGAGCGAAAATTACATTAAAAATGATTATTCAATTAATTTTATGTTGCACCTTATCCACAAAGTACCTAATGTTACTCATGAAAGCTTTAAGCGTGGCTTTAAACTAGACAAGTAAGTACGTCAAACAGTCACGTGAATAAGTCGAAAATTAAAAATGGCTGCCAATACCAGGGTAGTCAATCTCGTATTTGCTTCTCTTCTCCTTTCAGTAACAGACACCTTTCAAATCAGGTTACCTATTAAACAAATCAATTATATTCCTCTGAACTAAAATCCTTATGTATGCGACAGATCCCAGTGCACTTCGAGAAGCCAGTTTACGGTAAGAGTGAACCGCAAGTTGTCAGCTTCATGGCGCCAGGGATACTTATCACGTAAGTAAATTAATAATGCACAGGTGACACATATGGAGATATCTTTTGTTCTCTTTCTGTAGAAGACCTGGCCACGATTGTGCTAACAAGCCCAAAAACCTCACTAGCGCCATCTAGTGATAAGAAAAGACGTTCCGGGCATTTTTTTGTGTTTGTATCTATTTTACCCGCCTGAATTGGGGCAGTTTAAGAGAATCTATGCCTTATTTATAACGACGAACCCAATGCAGCTTTTTCATGCAAATAAATGATTTTTAATTTGGGTAAAGAACCTTTTTTATTAATTTGTTTATGTTCCTAATAGGTCGGCAAACGAGCAGACGGATTACCGGATGGTAAGCAATCAGCGCCACCCATGGACACCCAAGAACAGAGGAGTGCGTTGCCGACCTTTTGGGGATATCCCTAATTTAGCGATTGGAGGATGCTTTTTTACATGCTCTGAAAGTATAGGGTCTGCGCTTAAATACGAATCAACGATCAATTTTTGTTATAATTGATAAAAATGCTTTATAATAAAATTCCAGTATCATTTACTTCTTATCTGCTATTGTGACGTCGACGCTGATGATCACGGACCGGCTGGAGGGTGTCTGGGAGAGGAGTGCGGTGGCCGGAGTCAAGCCAAAGGAGATGTTGAATGTGCACATTACACTGCAATCTGTTGTTATTTTGCTGCAGGTTAGTGGGGGTTTTGTGATTAGTTACTAAGCCATGTAGGAATAACTCTTCTTATAGCTAGATTAGGTACCTCCTCTAAATTTGAAAAGTTTACGATAATAAACGCTAAGCTAAGCTAAAGAAAAAATATTTAAGATTTTTTTTCTTGTTGCCGAAGTTCAAGCTGTTTCAGTTTTTAAAATTAAATTGTTGATAAAATTATCTCTTTGTTAGGTTTTACAACATATGCGAGAAGATTAGTAACAGATTTTGTTTTCCATTCTGCTTGGCATTTCTTTTTTGTTAGTGGTAGGATTTCGTAGGATGTCTAATTGCTATCCTAATACTGTAAAATCTCACATTTTATCAGCCATAGTAATCATAGCGAAGCTTTTGATTTAAAACACTTATCTAAAATTCTATCAGTTGTGAGTCGAATAATAACTTGTTTCTAATAAAAACCTCGTTTTTTTTCTAGACAATAGAAATGATGGCGCTAGCTTTCATTGGCTACGGTATCCCCTCAGTGGGCTCCAAGCTGGTCTGCGGTCTACTGCTGTTCCTTCAGGGCATCTGTGGCATGTGCTATGGCTTCCTATTGTCAGTCTACTGCAATAGCCATACCATGTCCTTCTTCGTGGCTACTGGTAGTTTCTACCCCATGATTCTTCTGTGTGGTAAGTTAACGTAACTAGGTGGATACCTGATTAGATTTTGTTTACTAAAATTATAGTTCTTAGTGAAAAATTGTCTTAAATACTACTCACTGAAAGATTATTAATGATGTTACAAAACTGAATTGTTTGAAAAAGAGTTACCAGTTTCTTGCTCGTTCTTTTTCTTAGGAATATACACTTCAGAACAAGCAAATAGCTTCACTTGAGGACTGACCGACAGACTGACATATAAAGTTGCACCTTCTGATGTTATTTTTTTTTGTTTGATGTTCAAAAGTGCCTGCTGTTGTCTTTTTGAAATAAATTATTTAACTTTGACTTTGAACAATAACTGTAAGGAGAAACTCAACAAATCATCTTTACTTACCAAATTTAAAACAAAATCCGCCATTTATGACGTTATTACTAACATATTTCTTCTCTTCCAGGTATTCTATGGCCTTTGGAGGGAATGTCATACACACTCCGAATGATTTCCCTCACTCTCCCGTTCACGATCCCCTCCATATCTCTAAGAAATATCATGGAGAAAGGAGCCACCATCATGGATAAATCAGTCATCTATGGTTTCCTAACCACTATCGCCTGGATAGTTATTACTCTAGCTTTAATTTACTTACGGTTGCGATTCAAGAAGACGTAGTTTTTTTTTATTGATTTGAGGACTTTAGTGGATGAAAAGACCATGTATTGTTGCCGAAAACTCTTAAGTATTTTTTTGTTTACAGATTTCCGTGTTGGTAACACTAATGTTACTGGCTTCTTTTTAAATTATGATTATGATCTTGCTCAAGACAAGTGTATTGAATATTATGATCTGTAGGTACTATTATCCAATCTATATACAAGGAATAGCAACATTTCAGTCGATTACTATTCTATTAAATTGTATTGTGCATAGTTATGCATTATATTGTAGGTGTCGATTAGGTCGATTTACACATCCACACAATTTTAGACTGATTTGTCAACATTTTTGCTAGATTTTATAAATTATGGACGCTGCTTTGGTTACATTCAAGGTTCGCTTTACTTTTCAAGCAAGACCAAGGCCAGCAAGGGCTTCCGCGCACTTGAACTCAGCGCCCATGACGTCACTCCATCTATTGGAATTCAATTTTTTGAACAACAATGCTAGATTATTGCCAACATTTTGAACTGAAGTGTCAAGATATAGAATCGACCAATAGGTTCAAAACCTAAAAATAATTATACTGTCGGTTAAATGGTATATAAAGTAGTTAAGTTAAATAACGGGATCTTTCACAGTAGGTACCAAAATTTAGTGAAAATAATAGTTAACAATTTGGTTTTTTTTTATTGTGGAAGAACCGATCGGGTAGCTTGTAAATAGCTCTTAATTAAATTTTATAACTCTGTGGGTTTTAAGAATATTGTGATAAATAAATATCTGTTAAAAATATTCTGTGACTAGCAGTATATTACTGCTAGAAGGGAAATCATGACATATGGATTAGAAAAAAACTGTATTTTATGCTATATAAGTTTTATGAAAGTGCTCAAAAATGTATTATTTAGGAAATCGTGTAAGAATATTCTAGACTTACTATTCAATGTAGTCAAAACATAGGATATTGGAATAATACCTACTATGTAATGTGTATATTTTTTGAAATGTTTAACTTTTGTATAATAATTATGCAGTAAGTAGTGTAAACAAAAAGTGTACGTAATTACTTCGACGCATTTGTCAAATTATTTTGTTTACAAATTACTATACTGAACATTGTCAAGCACTTTTTACCGAAATACTGTGAAGTTTTATGGTCGCATTTTTGTTAGTTTTATGTGTTAATTAGAATATTTCGTTTATTATCTTCTCGTAGAGAGAATTGCCGAAGTGGTGACGTGATACCATGTGATTTGGGAAAACTATTTATGAAATAAAGATTTTTTTATAAAAATGAGTTTTACTCAGGATGAAGAAATAACAACACAATGTTCAGATATAAAAATTTTATTATTTATAGGAAATATTTTGATTTAACAACAACTCTTTCCGTGTGAAGCGCGCGCGCCAGCGAGCCGGCGAAGATCATGGCACATTGATTTTAAAATTCCCGCAATTTATTCTAGTGGCAACACTGCACGTTTTCGTATTTAGCACACCAAAGAAAAAGAACGGTACCCAATTTCAAACTGTTGATTTAGATTTACGAAGCCATTTTATGTGTACAGTTACCAGGAATTATCAAAAAATTCGTCCAGCTGTTGTAGCTTCGTAAATGTACGTCTGCGCGACGACGCGAGCGCTCACACTGACAGCACGAGGTTTCGTTGTCAGCAAACCGTCCGAGGTTCCTCACAGCGCAAAACGGTACCTCAAAAAGAAAAAAAAGTCTATCCACATCATCATCTCGTCCACAGACCACAACACACCGCTTATTGCGACATTATCACATTTATCAAGCATTATCTGTTGATCCCTCGATACAGGAAAAAAAACTGATTTTTTAATTCTGTGTTTTCACAGTTTTCGCCTAACTATAAACTAGTACTTAAATTATAGCTCACTCATCACCTGTTTCGCGCGCATTCTCGCTTCGCAACCACACTCTATACAAGATGTCTTTGCATTTATACTACAGAGCGACATATTTTTACATTGGATCTCACGGGGGACAGTCAATTCCTATACTATTTATTGCTTTTCAAGCAATTATATACTTTAAAAATAACTCTTCTACTTACAACCGTCTTAGACAATGTTCGTGCATCATTTACAAACGTTTATAAGAAGACCAAGTACAAGCTGCATAGGCATATTTTTAAATATCACACATTTGTTTAAATTACATAGCAAAACAGCGTGTTCAGCTATCGTCGGAACATCTAGAAGGAATTGACCGGGCCCCTTACAAAACAGACGACAGAAACATAACTAAAACTTAACGCAGTTCCTATACATATTGATGAACATAAAAAAGTGTGGAGATTATGGAGAGGGCCTGAATACAGCCGAAATATTAAAAATAAATGTTAGCCGTTTCACGTGCCTATGTACAGAACCAAATTATTTGGGGTCCGCCTTGCAAAACTATCACAACGTTCGGAACGAGTTACTTATGTACAAAAATGGACAAGTTCGGTATTCTAGCGATCACAAACAGGTGAATTACACACGACGCACGTTTAGTGGGTAATGCACTAGGCCTTGTAAAGGTTTGTTTAACTCGAAAAATCCTATTGATATCTTTATGCAGACTTATAAGTTTTGCAGAAACAGACACCACGCAGGCGACGTTCTATCGAGCGACAGGTCTCCGACTTAAATCAAGTGGCTAGCTTTCAACTTTCTTAAACACTACCATTTAACTATTAACACAGAATTATCATGTATTCTAGGAAGATCCGCTCGATGCAACGTTGGTTTAAAGCCTCGATTTACAATTATCCAAAACATATTCAGTTACAAAATTATGTATAAATGTAGTTACATTAAACGCTATTTTTTAACGTACAAACTAGACAGAAATGTTTAAAAAAGAAACAAATTCATATTATAATCATAGTTGAACATAATTTCCAAGCTTTACACAAAATATATAACAGTAACTGTACAAATTGTGACGTAGACTTTCGGTTCAGACTACTTCAGACCATCGTTCAAAAACACTACATATTTACATTACATTATTACCACACTGCACAAGCATCGAATCACAATGTTTTTCAATAAGTAATATACGCCGAAATTATGAAATAACATAGTCTTGATGAGTTTTGTCGGTTTCACGTAAATTAATAATAATTATTAGCAAATTAGAAACATTAAATTGAGCCAAGATCAATTGTATAACAAATTTCGACAAAAACCAACTCAAAATCAACAACAAAAGCTAATGACACAACAAATTCTCATCAAGACTAAAAAGAAAACTTTGAAATCATAATTGTAACATCGCCAATGTATAAACAAACTCACAAAGTAATTAGAAAATACATAATCATATTTAAATATATATATAATAAAATAATAAATAAACGTTTACACCATCAACAGATTTGCAGCGCATCGCTGCTCTGTTGAAGCAATTATATTTTACGTATTATTTCTGTCTAAAAAATGTACTTGTAACTGTGTTTTATTTTGAAAACTGATGTTCCTGCCTATGGTTTTGACAATTTCTTTTTCACACCAACTTAAACTTAACTAAATGGTTGTCCTTCGGTGCAGTTTTTCTAGAGAAATAATGTTTTATAATGTACTTCTAAAACAGTTGTTTTCATGTTGCGATTAATCATAGTAGTAGAAATAATAATAGATATGTTAAGAGTCACAGATAGGCCAGTTCTATCAAAACTAGCTTACTGCGGACCAGGCAATACATTATACTAGACGACCATTCCATCCTAGTATATGAAGATAAAATATTAAAGCAAGTTTTTCAACAAAAAGGATAGGCTTTATGATACCGTATGTATATGTATAATAAAAAAACTAAATATCAATAAAGGTTGACATAAAAATTGGCAGTGAATGATATACAATATCATTTTGAGCAAATTTGTTTAGAAAAAAATGCTATATTAAAAAGGAATGCAATTTTGATTAATCAACTTTATAAGGTAAAAAACTGAAATGATAACTTTACGCCAAGTTGAGTATATGTGAGACACAAAAAGCGACCGAAATATCAATGAAATAAGAATCAATTTCCAAATAAATCACAGTTACAGTACAAACAGACACATTTTGTTTAATAATGACGGTGGATTCCTTCAAATAAAACCAAAATGGTTAATTGTTACCATGAGTTACCATTTCGCAGCGCAGTACAAATGTATGAGATCTTATCAAAATGTTAAAGAGATCATTCTGCCTACAGTTTTAAAGGCATGACGATATGTACGTATATTGTAAACATGCTGTATTCGAGACTGGTCCAACTACGGTTCGGAATATCACGTCTTTTCAGTGAAATTCGACTTTACAATGTCAGCAATAAGGGCGAATTTGTAGTAACAATTTTAGAATACGATGAATCTATGTAGTTTTATATAAAACATCTTGTCAATTTCATAAGACTTCAAAATATCCTAAATTTTCGTGAAAACCGCAGACCCAGCCCTTTTTCTTTAACTAACCCGTCCCTACTTCTTGATCTAATAAAAAAATACCTACATTACTTTCTAAACGATGCTCGTTTCTCAGAAATTAAGAGAAAATCAAATCCCATACACGTCTCATACAAAAATTGATAATGACATGGGATCTCATACATTTTATTGACGCGTCTAAAACATTCGTTACACCTAACTAATCTCAAAGGTTGTGTCGTTATCTTAAAAAAGGGACAGTTTTTTTTAAATGTTTAAACAATAAATACTTAATTATCGCTTAGAACCTTAAGTAAGAAAAGCGTATAAATTATTTTTATTTTCTCAGAAAATTTGAATTAACGGACTTAGTTTCTATCTACCTAGACGTTGTGCCGTATTGTATGGAGTCGTACAAATAATTAGATCGCTAGAAAAGAGGTTGAAAGCATCTCAAAATGCGTAAAATAGGTACAAACAAGATTTTTATCAGCATGAGAGACCTAACTGATCAACCAGTGACTTGAGAAGAAATGACAAGTACATAAGTCACACAACTATAAAAATAAAACAAGGAAATGTAAGTACTTCGACATTGGAGTTTATAACAACGCGAATAGAGTACAATTCCCATAGACAATACGACACAACTTGACAAGAGCGGCTTTCAGTGACTTATTATTATTTATTATTATAAGCAGGCAATTCAGACGGATTCGGTATGTGGTTTTTTTAAGACGGTAAACCAATTATCTTGTTTTTTATTCATAAACGTGTGATGGGTTACTCACTTAAGTTACTAACGAGTTGACTCGTCCAGTTTCTAGCCACTTCTGGAGCTTATATTCATGAGAGGCGTGCGCGACACACGACGACGAGCATTTTACTATTGAACATTTCAATGTTGCAATAATTTTGGGTAAGCAAAAGCGCCATTTTGATTTTCTATTCTGCAAGATTGCAGTATTATTTATCAATCAAATATTACTTTTTTAACCTTTTTGGTGTTAGGTGATAAGGAACATCATGTTTCCGTATATCTTTAACGCTGTGGTAACAAAACCACTTCCCAACATTCATTTACTGAATTTTAACTCATGCCATGTATAATGTAAGTACTACTTTTTTCAGAAATTAACATATAGATGATTGATCACATAATTATTTGTGAACGGGCCTTCGGTCCTACTTCTAAACAGTCTTGATTCAAAAGCTTTGTGAAAAACTATTATAACTAACGTAAAAAATGGTGGTTCTTCTTCCTTTATTAAGTATATAAATGGATTTTTCCTATAGCGAAAGTATTGTGATGCTGAGATAATTGTCACGTGTAGAAAGCCGCGCTTGTATTTCAACAAGTTTATTAAATTTCACGCCTGACGCACCGAGGACTCATAATACAGCCTATGTATTCCAATGAGCGTTGTATATATTTTTATTGAGCACAGTTTGTGTATTGGAATTACAATCTAAAGTGAATGGGTTTAGATTGATTTTATCCGCATATGGTTTAAGTATTGTTGCATGTCTGAGATTGTATTGTAATTCCCGTATGCGGTTATAGCCCTTATTCACATAAGGTTTAAAACAAATTATTGCTATCGTTGCGTAATTCTTACTACCCGGGGTAAATGAACTCTCCGATTGTATGAGAAACGAAGCTGACAAGTAAAGATGCTACTGCGTTTCAACTTTGTTTTAATAGAAATAAGTATCAATTTAGAATGGTTCGACAGAAATTAAAAGAATAATGATTATTTTCCTATGGACAGTATCTCAGTAGCACCCTTACTGTACAGTTCAGCTTGTTATTAACATTATAACAGGTATATTTATACAACACATTGGTAAATGAGGCTTAGATTAAGCATACACAGATGGCAATAACATATTACACCAATATCTATAGGAATCCTCAAAAACTATAAATTTTGTAATCATACAATACAATTTCAACAAAAGAATGGTTTTCCATGTTCATCAACGCATATTAATACCAAAATTAATGATGAATCACATGTTAATAAGGACCCTAAGACGTAAAGCGATAGTGTCGCCATCTGTTTTGAGCGAAAATCTTGCCTCTAGAACAGTGTTATACTAAGTACCGTGCGAGATCCCGGTGCGAGGGTCAGGCGACTGCTAGAACTTGTCCTGGAATATGAAGAGGTTGTTTGTGGCCGCCACTGCTATTATACTCTCGTGAGGATGCCATGCCGTATGGAGAATCTTCTTGTTAAAGTCCAGGCAGTCTACGCTTATTTCGTCCTGGAACGATTTTTTTAGATTAGTTTTTGCTGTCCATGAAATATAATCTAGATAATGTAGTATAGATATAAATGATTACACAAAAAATATCTTTGTTTTTCAGATAATAAGTGGAAAACGATGGAATGGATACATGCAAGACTAAAATAGAAACAAGTGCATTGCCTACTTTTTTAATTAGGTTTTTGTTTAGTAATCTAACTGGGCGAAACACAGGGAAATTCATGATTGCGAAGCTTTTGTGTAAGAATAAGCAATACATTTTATATTATACACCATCGTGATATCAGATATAAAATGTAATTTGCACGAACTATGAACCTCGTAATATTTATGATAGACTTAAATCGAGCTACTAAATCGGAGCTTTGTAAAGTGATATAAATGTATGTGTGTCGGCGTACCTTCTTCCTCTTGGCCGTGGTGGCGACGCGCCTGGCCCGCAGCGGCTGGCGGGGCCGCGCGGCCGCGTCCCGCGCCGCCTCCAGCGTCAGCTCGCCGCGCCGCGCGCCGCAACCTGACCCGCAGCCTCCGCGCTCGAATATCCTAAGTAACAGATGGTACATTATTCATATGCTACTATTATGTACACTCGTTTACCCACAACTTTTGGGTAAATTTTCATAACTACACCAAACACAAGTTTTATTATTGAAGAAAATAAGAAATTAATAAAAATCTAGAATTCCTTTTATCCATATCAAACACTGTTCACGCTATTTCAATAAAGTACAAAAAAAAATGAACTAAATAAGATTGAGAAGCTTATTTTTCAATCAAGCAGTTCTTGCTCGTTCTTCCCCATTCGGATCTTCATTTTAGAACAAGCCCATAGTTTCACCGACGAATAAGCGAACAAACTTGAAGAATCTAATTTAATGTTTCAAAAGTATGGTGTAGTTCGAAAAAATAGCTGACTTCGACGAATCTGCACGAATGTTTTTATCCTAGGAACAGAGGAACAGAACAGACTTTTTTTATCCTAGAAATCCTATCCCATCCTTATTTATCCTAGCATAAGAAAATCACTCAAAAGTACAACATACCTAAAGAATCCATTATAAGATCCGGTCATGAGCCGCTGGTCGTCTCCGCTCCAGCAGCACTCAAACTTATCGAAGATACAATCATTCTCATACAGGGAACATAGTTTGGAGCGTAGGTACTCGTGTACTGGGTATGTTTCCACCGGTTTCGTCTCCATGCGTAAGTCCCATACTTTTAAACCTAGGTAGTCTCGCGACATCATGTATCTGGAACAAGAGTTCTGTTTGAAATATGTAATTTTAAAGGTGTACAATTTAAAAAAAAAATGGAAATTGGAATATCCCAAACTGCAAACTGCTTTGATATACCATATATTTAGTTATGTACATTAGAGTTTTCATTAGAAAGAAAGAAAGAAAAAGTATTTATTCGCGTCTGGAACGCATAAAAGACACAAAACAAGATAATAAAATACAGTTAAGAATAAAAATACATTAAGCACGGTAAAAACAATATCACAAAAGTAGGTAGGTAGGAGAAAAATATGCGTCCAAGCACGCGAAATGGCAAACGCTCAGCATAATGCCAATCTGTGCAGAAACTTAAGCTAAGAAAATAAGTATTTCAAAATATGTTTTTCATAATTGTTTGGATAATATACTACTACAAAAAAAAATAGCGTACTCAGTACGCAACTCGACTAGCTTTCTATATGACTTAGTTTTATTTTTTTACTGGCACTTAGTATGAACTACTTCAAATGCAAAAAAGGATTTACCATATCAGCTAGAATATGGCTACAATTTGCTAATGTCACTACAATACGTAAGTACGTTAAGTAAGTAAAAATTTACATAGTTGGATATCGCCAAAATATTATTCTGTTATTAACTGATTGAAAACACTAGGCATTGAGCAAGTAAATATCTACAGTACGGCCGACGTATCTTGGCGAGTCTGAAGTTAGCCGTTTGTCTGCGCAATGGATCTTTTATGAACAAAATTGTGTACTGCGCAGCTACTCGGCTAACTTCAGACTCGCCAAGATACAACGGCCATATAGTATAAATATAGTCAAATTAATATATAGACCCTCACCTGCCAGAATTACTAAGCTTGACGTCGCTGATGGAGGAGATGATCTCGGAGAAAAATGACCTTGCGTGTGGATCCTCCGGCTCCTCGAACAGCTTCGCGTGGCGGTCGCATAACGCCGCCGCGCGCATGTCGCATAGCCTAATCGTACCTATGATGCAGAACATAAGGGTTGAAACGGCTTGCAGATAACATCGATCAACTTAAAATTATTTTTAGGACTTGGAAATTAAGTTCTGTGTCACAAACACAAAGCTTTGTTTCGTTTGCCTTGAGGCAGTAGCGTCCATGTTCTCCATTCTATAGCAACCAAATTAAGTAGTATTGAAGATCTTCTCATACTAGTCTGTAACTTTAGCTCGGTCATTTTGTGATTGGTTACTCAAGACTCAGACCTGACTACCATAACATCATGAGTTAGAAAAGATATTTCTTTTAACCAACAATGCTTGTTATGTATTTAATCCGGATTCGGTTTAAGACTATTTTTTAAATAAAGAAAACATAATAGTTCATTACTCACCCTTACTACTAGAATAGACAAAGAGATTGCATTCAGTCGGATGGAACTCCGCCGCCGTTATGACCTGAAACAATACAATATCATTTAGAATAGAATAATACACGATAAGAGAAACTTAACTACTTACAAGGGTCACAGAGAACAAAAAATAAAACATTGTCTAACACTAAATTTCCTCATTCCTCAATGTATCATCGGTTTGGTTACTTTTATTTTTATTTTTTCTTTATGTGAAACATAGAGTTGTTTCATGGACAAATAGAACTATGGTGTAGCCACTTCGCTAACCGTGCGTCAGACTCAAATGCAACTAATATAAGCAAAAAAACTCGAGGGAACTTTGCCACAGATGTCTATGCACTTCAAAATTGTGCGTTTTATAAGATTTGGAAATTGTGACATCTGTAATTACTAGATTACTTACATGTTCCATTAAAATTTATTGTACACACATCTTATTAATGTTTATTTTATTACAGTCCATCGCTATTGATATAATATTTTATATAATTTAATTAGAACAGGCATTGGATGAGTGCTAATTAAACACTATCTAGTTCTCAGTTACAGTTACGGGATATTAAATTATTATCTGTATAATACAAACCATATCATATTTGTGTTTAGAATTTTGTAATATGGATAATAATAATAATAGGAGCACATTTGTAATTAATTTGTGGGATATATAGTTAAAGTATCTAGATAATTTATTAATACTGTTTAAAAATTTTATAAACTGTGCTTTCTATAGATTTTGCAGGACATTTTTAGAGATTTTGTACTACATACCCAATTGTGATGTCGTCAGATTTTCATTGCATCAAATATTTCTCATCTTTTAATTTTGAACATTTTATTGTAACATACCGAATCAATCTTGGACTCTAGTATTTGAACTGATGTAGGAATCAAACTCGACCCCTGTTTTTGATATTCGAATTTAGGTCTAACTATGAGGCAATTAAGATTACAATTGATTTTAAACTAACCTCTGTAAGCTCCTCCATATTGGCGGGTTTAATATCAACAATATTGAAGCTCTGATCAGTGATCTCCAGGTGCCAGAGGTTGATGCGCAGGTCATCTGCTGAGAGGTACGTCTCCTGGTCCGAGTTCAGAGATATTGAGTTTATGTGGTATGTGTGAGCGTTGGCGAATATTCTCCTGTTGACAAAATATTAAATTAATTAGTGATTTCGCAAAATATTTTTTATGAAGTAAAAAGTGCTCCGCCTTATCGCTCGCATAGTACAGCAGTTTCAAATTGGTCAAGTAGTTTAAGAGCTTATGCAATTCAAAAAAACAAACCGTATTTTTTTTATAATATTGTTATCTTTATATATAAAAATGAATTGCAGAATGTGTTGGTAAGTGCTTAACTCGCCGGGACCAATTTTGTTATGTTCGTTGTAGTTAGGAGAAGGTTCTTATGAAAGAAAACTTTAGAAAAGTAAAGGGAACAGCGGGAATTTAAAACTATGGGCGCCGTGGCCGGTCGCTAGCAAAACAATTGACTGACACCCGGCAAATACCGTAAACCAGCTACTAGATAACACATCAGACTGGGATGGAGTTGCAACACAAAAAAACTGCAATTTCCAACTTCAAGTCTGGTGATAGCCAGGTCAACAAACACATTTGCTATCACTAAACCAAGGCCGAAAGTCAATAAACAGTTTAAAAGCTTCACAAAACTGAACCAAAAGTCCATCAAAAGAACTATTGAGGTAACCTATTTTCTATTGGTGATACCAAATCACTTGATTAAACACCATTCAAGATAAAACGGTTTATGGAAATCTCTCATAATCCTATGGGATTGAGTGTATGGTAAACAAGTATGGAAGTAATTAAATTATTTTGTTATCTATGTATGTAAAGAGCAGATAGTGAGGATCAAAAGTTTGCAATAAAGTGATAAAGTTTTGATTGAATGGTTTGGTGAGTCATCTTATTATTGTAGTTTGACTTTTGAGTGGATAGGTGGAACATTTCCCATGCCTGTAAATTGGTAGAGAGTACAGAACCAGAAGATTGTGGATCCCATTTTATTTATTTTCATTTAAATGGGTCAAAATTCCACACAGTAGACTTCTAGATAAAATTGCGCTACGGGCCTCTGTAATTCCACTGACATCTTGTTGGACCAGACACGGACAAGACGTTTTTTTTTAAGTTGGAACATCTGTAGCTTCCCTCACCCAGGGTGAGGCAAGAGGGAGTGTCAGACACTGACTAAAATCACGACAACCCCGAAGCACACGTGATATTATTTAGGGAACCGCGAAACGAGCTGGGCAAGCATTATGACATGACATAGATACTATCTTATAACAACAAAGTGGTATTTTTTTAATAAATCTGCAAACGAGCAAACGGTTTGCCTGATGGAAAGCAATCAGCGCCGCCTATGCACGCATAGCGCGTTGCCGACCTTTTGGGCATTAGGGATTTTGAAATTTTTGGGATCGGGGAGGGATTGGGAGAGGGGAAGGATTGGGCCTCCGGTAACCTCACTCACACGGCGACATAATGTTATGGATGTTTCAGGCCGGTTTTTTGCGAAGCCCATCACTCCCAATTCGTGCCGAAGCATGGATCTTCCCACACTTACACTAAGGTAGCACTCCATTTCGTCTGATGGTAGCTTTTGTAATTCGAAAACATTTCGGATTTTACTTGACCAAGGTATGTTCAGCACTGACCTAGGCGAGGCTTCAACCATGAGCTCGGCAGGGCGCACGGTGGGGACGCGAAGCTGCGTGATGCGCGCAGGGTCGCGTGGCCGACCTCCTTCCTCGCGCGTATTGTAGCCTGTCACCCGCTTGTCACGCTCCGACACCTGGACGTGAACAGAGATTAGTTATGTACATAGATAATATAAAAATGGATCGCAAAATGTGTTGGTAAGCTCATAACTCAACAACGCCTGGACCAATCTTGCTAATTCTTTTTTTGTTGTGTTTGTTATTGTCAGGAGAAGGTTCTTGTGTCAGAAAATATTAAAAAGTAGAGGGGGATATTGGGGTAAAGGGACCGTTTCATTGTTAGCGAGATAGTTGGACCCGTGCGAAGCGGGGGTGGGCCGCTAGTAGATAATAGAAATATGCTCTAGGATTGAGTTAAAACGACTCATTAAGCTTCTTAACTGTCTTTATATATGAAACACAAAAACCAAATACACTGCATGTTCGCTTAGGTTTGGTTTTGGAAGTCTTGGTTTGAAAGCCCACTTTCGAGTAAATATCTAACGGCTTTTTTCTTCATTTATTATTGTTTAATGCCTTTTTCAGAAATAGATGTAACAATCATTATACAAATGTAACATCCACTTTTCTCCAGGTTTATCAGATTTACTGTTAGAAAGACCTACTTGCAACACCGGCATCGCCCGGTAATATGACTCTTTATGTACAATATGCCACTGCGCATCTTGAAAAATGGGAGCCAGTAGAGGTTTTCACAAGTCGAGATATTCGAAAAATTAAGTATGCCTCATGGAATTTATTACATAAAAATAAGTACCTAACCCAGGCCTAAACGTCAACCAATACAAAAACTCGAGTAATAAGCTAACAAAGAAGCAAGTGACGTCATAGCGTTCATTTAAAATCGTCAACCGTTTACTTCGGTATGCGAGTGTCCAATTACGTTGGAATTTTTCAGAGGACACGGCTTGTTCACTATAAATGTACTAAGCTACATAATAGGGAACTAACAATAGGTCTTTAGCCGTATGTTTTTCGTTATTGTAAGCATTACATGGTACGTTTAATATGCTAAATTGCTGAATAGATTTCGATGAAATGTTGTATTGAGCAAGCTTGCATTTTTATAACGACAAATTAAGATTGTAGCATTTAAGATAATAATAAATCGCCCCAGAAATTGCTTACAGGATGGTAAAGATTTACAAATCACTATTAACTTCTAACATAGAATTGTCCAGGAATCGAACCCAGGTAACACAAGTACTAATTTACCTAAATCACTACACATATGTGATGTTCAAAAACGTGATATTTACAAGGATTTTTCAGGATCATTATCCCTAAATAAATATTGTTTATTTCTCATTATCCATGACTGAATTCTCAAATGTCATAAAATTTCCGAAAAACACTTTTTATATGACAGCATGAGCATAAAAAATATAATACATTTGAGAATTCTGTGGCGAAATAACTTCGTTCATTATAGCACTATACTAAGTTAAATACTATGGAATACCAAAATCAAATTTAAATACCCATATCAAATAGGTACATTTAATGAAAATCATAAACAGTGATTGTTTATTTTTATATGAATAAAAACTCAGTGCTATAACAAACAAAGCCACAAAAAGACTTAAAAACTAAAAAAAAAGAATAGAAATAAAAAATCCATACATACAAGACTAACCTTCCACAGTTTGATGGTCTTATCGTTGGTGGAGAGCAAGAAGTGTGCCTGGTTCTTCCGTTTCAACCATCGGATCTTGTTGATTTTCTCCTCAATCTCCAATGATTTGAGATAATCGAACTCCGGTTCATGTGATTGGAATGTCGAGTACACGTTGTACTCTCCCTTCTTGGGGACGCATTGTTTCGATGCTGGGTCCCTCTGGAATAGAGAAAGGGGGTGTTATTGTTTATTTATATAAAGGTCTGTAACGACATAGCATTTCCTTCAATTTACGCGGCCATGGGCTAGCCACAAACATTATATTTCACGCCATCTAACGGCATCGTAGGTACTAGCAAATCAGCCAGGGTAGTATCAAGCTTTACAGCTAAAGGGTTTATTTATTTGTATGAACAAGCTAATCTCTGGAACTTTTTATTATTTAGTGTCTTATCACGCTAATGTAGATGGATGGAGAGGGAGAGGGAGACCAAAACAAAATATGGATGGATTGTATGAGAAATGATACGGAAGACAGAGGAGTTAGTGATAGTGTGACGGGTGACAGGACAGAATGGAAGAAAAAAACATATTGCGCCGACCCCAAATAAAACGGGACAAGTGCAGGAAGATGATGATGATCTTATCACGCTACGACAAAAGGGCAATGGGTGGTGAGACAACATAAAAGCTACTACTTACATTTTGAAATTTTAAGATTGGTTGTATGTCGTTTAATTTGGCAAAAGAACTAAACATTACACAGACATTGGAGAGCCCTCTCTAAAAAATCAGAAACTTTTCTCACTGTAGCTGCTGGAAATTTATAGCAAGCCAACTTATATGGATGAGACTCATAATATAGCATTCGATTGCTTAAAAATTCACCAATGAACTGACAAATTTATATACAGGTATGTAAATGGCGTAATGTTTTGGAATCGACTTGATTTGGTAGGTATTAACTTCTAATTAACTACCAAAATACCATAAGTATTTAACTAACCTGAAATATGACAACCCTGCCGCCCTTGTCGCCAGTGGCGAGTAATTCGCCGTCATGGTTGAATTCTACGCATGATATCAGATCAGCTTCGGTGACGTCATCTTCCAAGGTACCCTTCACCTGGCTGAAACACCATGTCGTCTCCCCACCATTGCCTGAAAACATATGCCAGGAGAAATTAGAAAGAAACATAACTTTATACAGTTTATACATATGCTTAAGAAAAAGACACAGACGGACAAAGAAGTAGTCTTCTAAGTATTGTTTTATTATTTTTGAATTATGGAACCTTAGAAAAATATCTCTTTTGGACAGATATCATCTATCGCCATAGATAAAAAAATAAGTACTTATATGATGCATAATATTTTGTTAAATTATTTAGTAACATGGGTAACCTGATTACTACTAAAGTTAGTTGTTTGTTATTAGTAACACCTAAAAATAACCCATCCCACTATCCAAGTAAAAACAATCAAACAAAAATGACAACACGAAATCTTTAGTTACGATTCTTGTTATTTATTTTGGCAATCTGATTGGAATCTGACCTTCTGTTATTTTTAACCTGTCAGGTAACTTTTGATGCCAGGTAATCTAAAGGAGTTACTTAACTACGTCGAATTGGGATACTTCTATTTTACAGTATGCTATAAATACGCACTGAGCAATATGGAACCTATTTTCGTGTTTTAAATTAACTGTAATAAACCCAATTTTTTATAGCAGATTACACTAATACGTGAGCAACCTACAAAATGAGTAAAATAATTTATTAAATCACTAATCTAAATATCTTGTCGCATCTGTGAAAAAAATACTTTTAAACAACTGCCGACTTTAAGCCATTCGCAGTATTCAAAGTAATTTATTAATCTGACCTTGATTTTATGCTTATTTCAAACGGCAAGTAACTCCAGAACGTTTTAAAAATGGTCATAACAAGTTTTAGTTGAGGACCAAAAAATACGACGCATTAAAAATATTTGCGTATTAAAAATACGGGGATGGGTTATATACGAATATGAGTCCAGAAAGATCTAATAACTAGTCTATGGGAAGTGTTAAAATAGTGTAAGTTATCAGGAGGAAATAACCGAAAAAAATAAATTGGCGACGTGTACGTCCTGTAATAATCCGTGTGCCAAATCTGTCCGTACTTATTTAAACGGTAAAACCTAGTTGCCAAACGTGATATCTCAAGTACCATAACATTAAAAACCACGATGTCAAAATACACTATATAAAATTAATATAGACGCAATAAAATCAATGAAATAAAAATTGCTGAAACACAGCCCTTTAATAAAAATTTTAATTATGTGAATATCAGGGTCACACTATGTGGTTATTTCGTTTTAAAAAGTTTAGTTCAAGTAAGAAGAAAGTTGGAAAAGTTGGTTGAATACAAAATATCTAGATAGAATTTTCATTTATAGGCTACATAATCAAGCACAAAAAAGTCATTACAAGTCTTACGAAGCAGCATCAGATTGGTCATAGAAAGTAAAGAAATGTAAAATGCTGGATACTTCAAAACACTTTTCCTTGATCCGTTCCCTGACATTCTATTAATTCACATTAAGCATACTCGTAAAAGTAAAGATCCGCAACATACAAATAAACAAAAAAGAAATTAAGTGAATTAAAAAGACAGTTGCATTAGTCCTAAAAACTGAGGGGTTCATTGCATCGCTAATGGCGCTAGTGTCGCAAATGGCACTGCAAAAATAAATCTGCAAATGGGTAATATTTACGTCCCTGGATTTATAGCATAGCAACAAAACCTCCCATTGTATATTTTTAGCCCACCCCTTTTACAAACTTTAATTCTAATTAAATGAAGTTGCAATTCCTGGACATTTTATAAATTATGGAAAACATTCAAATTACACTTTCATTTGAGTAGCCTGTAAACTTTTGACACATATTTCATACAAATTACGTACCAAATGATGTATCAGCTACATAATGGCTATTAAGTTATTGTGAAACAGACCCTGGATCTAACACAAAAGAGACACATTTCACTTTGTAAAAAAAAACTATAGTATTGTATATGTATAAAATTGCAACTTCATACTTAATTAAGTATTAGTGAACCACACACAGATATAGTAAAAAGAATTGTTAGTAAACAAAGACCACATAAAACGTAAATGCAATGTATTATACAAAAATAAAAACATCAAGATAGCAAGTTAACATATTAAATAATTATATTATCATTCCTTTCTAATTGTTATCAAGTTTGTTAAAAGTTATCAAGTCAGTGTAGTAACGATAAATAAATAATCAGAAATAAATTATTACGCCTGTGTTCTCTCAATGGCCTTTCTACGAGTTTTGTTCCTGAAGAATTTACAACATTTTCATAGATGTATCAGTATGTGCCTCAGAATGTACTTAAATATTATTTGTTACCGTGAAATAAATTGACCTCCCTGACTAAAATCATGGCGCCGACCAATTGCACGTAATAAGCAATGAAACAATTACATATTGACCTAAATATCAATGGTACATACAATCACAAGTTGTGTTCCAGTGCACCCGACAAGAATGTTGTCTCCAATTCGCGAAATTATCTTGAATCCTAATACGATGATTGGAATACCACGGTACTTCCTTTTTTTTCAACATCTCTTACACTAACTTATGATAGGTGGACAATAAAAAATACACATTTTACTTATAATTATTTGAAAAAAAATATTGAACAGTACAGTTCTGCGACATGTCCTATACGAGAATGGTGGAAAATTTCGTATTTCGAACCTGTTCCTTGTTGTAGAATGGTAACATTATACTTGTGAATGGGAACAAAAGTTGGGTAACATTACACCTTTCTTTTGACGCATTGTAGGGTGAGTTTAGACAATGAACCCACAAGGCTTGACGCGTAACAATTAGAGGAAGCACCTTGTATATGGTGTACTACGTAATTGAATGATATAAATAGCGTTGCGATGATAATTAGTGCTGGCATTTGCGTGTCTACCGTTAATACTCAAGATAGGTCTTGTAAAAATACTGGGAACATCTCGATTATTCTTTACCACTGTTACAAGACAATTATAGAATTCTCGAACTTGTTATTGTAATTTACTACTTTTTAAACCAGTTTAAGTTGTTATTCGCGTCATCCTTCTCCTGGGAATTAACCACAAAAAGTTTATTGTAGTACGTACGTATTTATTCAAAGGGCGACAAGTCTTTGTTCAAGATCTGTTTGCCTCGACGTTAGCAGACAGTGTTTTAAGTTAATTTAAATTTTGAAGTGATAAAAAAACCAGTAACCCGCCGAACCCAACGTCACTGTCCTTAAATCGTGAAGATCGTGACGTAAGGTGTACCTACGTTACTTATCGACTCACCCGATTCGACTAATACGGCAAACTAATGACAACCAACTTGAGCCGCCACGGAAAGTGCGAGACAAAATCGATGGGCGGTTTTAAGCCTTCTCTTCATAGTTGAGCTAGATTAGGGTACTTTTTACGAAGCAATTAACCTTTAAGTGATATATATAATGAATAGCCTAAATTGTGATAATACAATATGAGAGGAAATTAACTTTTAAATTTTGATATTTCATAGCATAGAGGCAAAAGAGTAAATTTTAAGTGTGGGAGAGCCATGCTTCGGCACGAATGGGTCGGCTCGACCGGAGTGATACCACGGCCTCACAGAAAACCGGCGTGAAATAACCACTGCGTTGTGTTTCGCCGTGTGAGTGAGGTTACCGGAGGCCCAATCCTTCCCCTTCCCCAATCCCTCCTCAATCCCTAAATCTCCATATCCCTAATCCCTAAAAGGTCGGCAACGCACTCGTAACTCCTCCGTTGCGAGTGTCCATGGGCGGCGCTGATTGCTTGCCATCAGGTAATCCGTCTGCTCGTTTGCCGACCTATTACATAAAAAAAAAAGAGCAAATTCATTACCTAAACAATTAGCGCAGTCGAAAACCACGGATGAAGTTAATGTTCTGAAGTTATCGTAGGTAGGCCTCCTATAAGTCCTATAAGTTATAGGAGGCCTACCTCCGATAACTTCAGTCACAAACAAAATCGAAGGCAATTTTTTAAATGATTTTTTCAGTGACTATGTCTCCTTTATTATGCAGGAAATAATCCCTGTGACTGAAAGCTGAACCGTAAAATCCTTTCGGCAAAATCAACAATACAATACTCAAGTTATATTTTCCGAGAATTCACATCGCATCTCTATATCAAAGCCATAGAAAACAGACTTATAATATTCAAGATATACATATATCAATTTCTTGATAGAAAACCTTTCAATTCCCTCGCGATATCATCAGGTCAGTTGAGGTCAAGGTCATTTGAGTGGCATCTGGTTATCGCAGTGTAAACAAATATGTTTACATGAAGATATGGGGATGCGTCAGTCTTCCTCGAGTCGGCCTTGGAGACGCGAGCAGGTGACGGGCAAATCACGATAAAGTTAGATGGATTTTATCAGGAAATCGTTTCTTTTTGTATATTTAAACGAGAATAATTGGAGCATTAAATATTTGCGAAATGTTATTTAGATAACACAAGTATTATTTAATTTTATTTGATAATATTAATGTATAAGAAATTATCATTGCAGAATACTATGAAATAGTAATGTTTCTTGCTATTTTTTTTATTAATTCTTTAATTACTATTATTTTTGTACCTGTGATTGTATCCACTTTATATGTATGAAATTAGCGTAGAGTGTAACAAATTTTTATCAAATCTGGTTAATTTTTTTTAGTTTTAAAAATTTTTTTGCTTTATGTTCAATTTCTAGCTAATATGAATATAGATACAACATCCTCTAACAAATTTTCTATTTAAGCACTTGTATATCAATTTAGCGAGAAACAGTGCTTATCTTGTTGTCAATAGATAAAATTGTGTTTGTAATAAAATAGATAACCAGTTAGCTAGCTAGCAGAATGGGAACCAACATGTAACCTTTCTATGCATTATTATTTCAAAGAGCAAATAAAGGTCAAAGTAAGGCATTAAATATAGACATTATGCCTTAATATGGTACCTACATAGGTTTTTTGTAAACAACCTAAAAAACGGACAACAGCTTTAGAAAAAAAGAAAATATTATTATTTATAATAAAAAAAAATTTCTGTCTTTCTTTCTA